GACGGTGGGGCCCTCGGCCGCCTGGGAGCCCCGCCCCCACTTCTCCCCTGGGGCTTGGGGGGGGTAACTGCCCCAGCCGGCTCCCACCGCCCCTTTGGGAATAGGGGTGACAGGCAGCGGCCCAGCCTCGCCCCCTCCCCTGCCGGCACGGACAGCCCCGGGCCCAGGCGCAGGCAGCAGCCTCTGAGGATGGGCGCTACTCAGGGCTCCTCCCACAGCAAAAGGGCGGGTGATTTTCCCTGGGGGCGGGGCAGCGCTACCGTACAACCGCCGAGACGTGCGCCTCCGCCTCCCCGCCTCCCTCCCTGCGTTTCCAGGGCAACAGGCAAGCGCCTGAGAACTCGCGCCGGCGTGCAAAGGTTCTCGCGAGAAGATGAGTTCTCGTTCCCTATGTCTCCGACGTCCCGGGTTGCCATGGAGACCAGGTACTCCAGGCTTATCCGGGAAGCGGCGCGGAGAGCTGAGGGACTGTTCAGGTCGTGGGAGTGCGCGAGAGATTGAACCCGCCCTGGTGTGGAGGGGTGCAGGGGAGAGAGACTCCCCCCTTGTGTTGCTGTGGGAGGGGTGCAGGGGAGAGAGACTCCCCCCTTGTGTTGCTGTGGGAGGGGTGCAGGGGAGAGAGACTCCCCCCTTGTGTTGCTGTGGGAGGGGTGCAGGGGAGAGAGACTCCCCCCTTGTGTTGCTGTGGGAGGGGTGCAGGGGAGAGAGACTCCCCCCTTGTGTTGCTGTGGGAGGGGTGCAGGGGAGAGAGACTCCCCCCTTGTGTTGCTGTGGGAGGGGGTGCTGGGGAGAGTGACCCCTCCCTTGTGTTGCAGTGGGAGAGGTGCTGGGGAGAGGATTTCAACTGGAGGGAACTGGTAGACTAGAGTGTGATCCACTCTCATCCTGCCTAGAGGCTGGTAGAATTCCCTCCTCGCCCACTTCTCATAATATTGGAATGTTGCTGCTTCAGTGCTTCTCATTTCCCTAATTGACAAGCCTGATGAATTTTGCAAAAGTGCTAGTGGCCTCCTCCCATTTTTCAGGAAAGGTGTAAGAGCAGAAGGGGACAGTGTCCTGTTAGGATCTCTGAGGAGAAATTGCATCAAGGGAAGAGCATTCTCATGTGGGTCTGTGCCACTCTGGGTCTCCATGATGTTCACATTAGGGATGTTAAATATTGCTTAATTTAATAGCTGAGTAACCTCACTAATTCTTTTTGGTTAGTCAACTATTCTGTAGTCCCTAGGGGTGGAGCGGGCGGGCAGGCAGTGTGCTCCGGCCCAACTCTGGAGGAGCCCCCTGCTACACCGTGTTGCTGCCTCAGTATCAGAGGCAACAACGCAGGGTGCCAGGCGGGAGCTGGTCCATGAGGGGAGCCGGTTTAAAATCTAACTCCCCTCACAGGACCCAGCATGTTCTGCCTACCCTCCCAGCTTTTAATTCACTTTAAATGCAGAACTGCAGCGGGCGTAGGTCCCTGACCTGGCATGAGCCAGGATTGAGCCAGGCTGCAGCCTGCTAAAAAATTTACTAGCAGGAGTTGGGGGAGGGAAATGCTTGTTGTCTATAACATTAACCTATAAGCTTTTGCTTATTGGTTAATTGACTACACTATTACATCCCTAGTTCACAGTCTACCCTGTATGACACATGTAGTCCTCTGAAATATCTTAAAATAATTAAAAAGATGTCACAGCTGATGCAATGAACTCACAAATTGCTTTGTACTTTTTGATTACTTATTTAGGAAATGTGAAAATGTTGTAACCCTAAATAGATGCTGGGCCTTCAGTGAAAATCAGTAAGGCTCCACTATTTGCAATCTAGACTATGGAAGAAATACTGCAAAATCACACCTGTGTTCTTCATTAATAGCTCTCAGGATGGCCATCATCATTAGTTTTTAGTTTCTATCGGTAGAGTGTTTTCAAAACATTTCTCTTAAGGCCCTGATCTTGCAGATGACCATGCCTGACAGATCCTTGTGCCTTTGTGGATCCCACTGATGTCAGTGAGATTACATTGGCACAGGAATTCACTCACATGAAGTCACTTTAGGATTGGAGGCTATGTAATTTGTTTAAAAAAGCCTTGAGTAAGGAGTAATTTCTCTTTAATAGGAGAATGGCAACTTGGATTTTTTTTAATTGGCTAATTTCAAAATATGTTTTGGTGTGCTTTTAACAGTTTGTCTTGAGATTTTAAAAAATTAATAAAGACGTATAAGCTTTTCTGTTCTCCTGTTTATTAAGAGTCTTTCCAGCACAAAACTGCTTACACACAGAAACTGCAATCCATCCCTCTGCCAATATTCGTCTTAAGTTTAGGAGCTCAGAGAGGCACTGAGGACAAGGTACTTTTCCTCTCCTGTGGGTGGCCTGGGATTGACCTGATATCTGGCACAGATTAGAAAACCATGGAAGAAGTCCCTGTTTGCTTGCCTACTGGAATAGCTAGATAGTAGGCAGTCCTGTCAAATGCACAAACTAGAGAAATCACCAATATTTTTGCATCTTTAAGCTATAGTATTTGTATACACTTATAATGATATAAAGGTCCAAAATTTTCAGCCAAGTGTCTAATTTTAAAGTTGATGGAGTCCTAAGGATTTAATTCTCTTGCCTCTCTTTCTCTGTCTCTCTTCCCCTCCCTCCAAGTTGGTACAATTGTTCTGCAAACAAGCAAAGACCTGAGCACTCTGCAAGATGGTGCTGGTGGGAGCAGTACGTGTTGTCCCCAGTGGGAAAGTCTACAGGCAGATTTTTGATGATGAGGTACAGAAACATCAGAGGCTAAACCAAATTTACTCTTCATTTGTGCTGTTGTGAATTCAATACAGTTAGATAAGACATGAATTTGGGCCTTTTGTATTTTTTATTCATTTTAGAAGAGAATAATGTTAATATCTTCAGGGTGCCCTCCTCAACAAACCTTTTGAGGTTGTGCTATTTGTCTTTTGAACTTCAGAATGTGTTTACCAAAGCTAAAATTTGCTATATTAATGACATGGCAATGATGGATATGTTCAGAGGTTTAGTGTGCCAGACTCATATATTTGGGTATTGTACATAGCTGGTTTAATTTTTAAAAGGAACATCCAGATATCTTAGTGGGTGGAACGTGGGATTTGAAGCCAGGATTACTTAATGTGTTCCCAAGTCTGCCACTGATTTGCTGTGTCACCTTAAGCAAGTCATATAACCTTTTTGTTTCTGTTTCCCAATCTGTAAAAAAAGATGTTCTTATTCATATTATAAAGAACCTTGGATGAAAGAGGTTATGTAAGGGTAAATAACTGTTTATTACTTTAACTTTTCAGCTACTTTTCCCCCACTTTTTTCAGTGTGGCTTCTTTGAATTTTCTCTGCTTTCTGTGGATTAGTGAAAATTCTAACATCTTGATTATACTTCTATGAAGGTTCACTTAGTACGCTCTCTGGAGGAAGCAAGAAACAAGGCAGTGCAACCTAAGTTTCCTGTGAAGAGTGGAAGGATTCCTGTGGTGAGGGACATGGAAATGTGTGCTGGTAAAGGACTGCTATCTCATCGCCAACAGAAATGGGTTGAGGGAATGCCCAATGATGGTTCCATTGAAAACCCAGTGTTGTACAGGTATAGATTGGAAGTATAAATTTGTAATTATAGTTTGGTAGCGGTTGAGTTAAACCTCTTTGAAATTAGTGGGTAGAATAGCTAAGCTTCATTATTGATACATGTAAGAAACAGCTAAGCTCCTTTATAGAACCAGCTGAAATACTAGCAGCTTCCACCCAAAACAAAGAAACTTGCAAGGCACATGTGGGTGGCAGGCTGTCACTAGATTTGGTGGAAGTGTCTGTGTGTATGGTCTGTGTCTTTCTTTTTTGAAAGGAGAAGAAAGAAACAGCAGAGAAGCTGGGAGAGAAACAGCAGAAAGTCAAAGCTGCAGCCAGAGCAAGCACTGAGAATGTTGCATTGAGAAAGGCCTAGAGAGAGAATTTTTGGTCTATGTGCTACCTGAACAGATGCTTGGAACTAAGAGCAAATAAACTTACATACTGTGTTGAGAGGACTTTTTTCTCTCCTAACCAAAACAGCCCATTAGACTGCAAATTTTGGCCCAGCTACTTGGGTCAAAAAGGGGTAACCACATGTATTATGACTATGGACAGTGAGATGTGAACATGGAACTGAAAGCTAACAACTCCTTGAATTTTAATTGTGGCTCGAGTAACAATTCTCCTACTGGGCAAATTATTCAACATCCATGTGGCTCTGTTCTCGTAGCTGTAAAGAAAGGCAATTCTGGCCTGGCCATCTACTGCACGTTCACAAGGCATAAGAGATCAGTTGGCAAAGGCTTCCCCAGCCGACAGATCCATGTATAGACTGCTGCACTGTGCCAGATCAGCTGATCGTCAGCACAGCGTGGCGGCCATGTTTATTCTAATGAAGCGGGGATTATTTAAATCCCTGCTTCTTTGCCTATGCCGGGTAAACTAGTTTATATGGCTCCGTCGACGGAGCCATGTAGTCTAGACATAACCGAAGTATTTGCTAAGTTCTCTCTTAACAGTCAAAGTGTAAGAGCAGGGGTCTCAAACTCATGGCCCACAGGCCATCTAGGGTCCGAGCAATTTCACATTCCATCCCGGGTGTGTCCCCCTCCCCCATTTCACCCCTTTTCCCCAAACCTCTTCCCCTTAATGACATGGCCTGGATGGCATAGGGGAGAGCAGGAGCACTCTCTGCATATTGTGATGATTGTGATGATTCTTAATGTCATTTAGATTTTTTTACAAAATATGAAGCAATGCCTTTTTGAAATCCCTACTTTTTCTTCTGTGGCATAGTTCAAGGCTTTCATCACTGTTTCTATTACAGAGAAATTACAGCATTTCGAAAAGTTCAAGAAAGTGAAGATGTGATTGCAGCCCGTGAAGTTAGAGGCCTCAGTGATTTCATTAGTAAAGTTTACTACTTAATCTTAAATTATTTTTTATGATTCTTTGGGTATTTTCCACATGGAAGGGAGGGAATAATCGCAGACATGTTTATTGTATTATTGTACTTGTTTAATTACTCAGACTTTAGAGACATGGAGTCAAATTCAGCCCTGGTAAAAACAGGCACAAGTCCTATGTAGGGATGTTAGCATGTAGTCGTTTACACAATTAACCAATAAGCCTATTATGTGATCATGCGTTAATTCATATTGGTTCAAGGTTTCCTTTGGGTTTTTCACTCATTAACTTGTTCCTGTGTGAAAATTAAAGACAAAGTTTTCTTGGGGCTGGACCAGGGCAATGGCAATCAATATTTCTTGATTTCTATTCTGTGTCCTTCACAATTTGGCAAGTCACTTAACATGTTTTTGCCTTAATTATCCCTACCAGTTCAACTGGAGATAATATTTGCCTTACAGAGGGAATGTGAAACTTAATAAATGTCTGATAAGTGTTTTGGCATCATAAGATAAAAAGTGCTGCTATTATCTGTGCCCTTTTGTGTTGTGTAGTGGATCGTTCGTGCTGCACAAAACCCAGAGATCTTAGCGTTGATTTTGTAAAGGGTTGGTGGCTGCACATTCTGCAGCATCACATCCGGTCTGCACCATCTTTATTTTCTTCTTTGGCAGTTCCAGAAAGGACAAACAGCAATATCATTGAACGTATCTCAGAGCGCAGACGAGGCCGTCATAATGAAGCCACAGCTAGGCTACAGCAGGAGTTAGCCTGCATTGGGAGGGTGAGTCGCTAAGAAGTCTGGAGTGTTATGTAAGCATCAAGGCCGAATATCCAATATCTAACTGGCATACCTCCCTGTTTTAGGAAATGGAACCATTCATTTTGGAGCCTGGAAAGTTGCTTTTGACAAAACTGTCAGAATCTGATAGAACAATTGAACTTCTATTCAAAAAGATTGAAAATGACACTGATCTGGAAGCCTTTTCAATTGAAGTAAGGGAGTGTATTTGATTTGATCTAGTTCTCTAGCTCAAGCCCTTGTCTCTCCTTTTTTCTTTGCCTGTCATCTGTATGTGTAATGTCCATTTATTTTTAATTTTTTCAATGGGTCTGATATTTACATTTTTCTTACAGAGTTTTGGAGAGTTATGGGATGTCATCTCTCAGGAATCCTTGTATAGAAGGCAGTGGATTAAAGAGATGGATGAATCCTTAATCAAGTGTGAAGTGGCTTGAGCTGAGAAAGTGAGCTAAAGTTTGAATGGTTATTAATTAATTCCTAGATTAAGAATTTGTTCCCAACCCTGGGTGAAGAGACGGGATTTTCAGGTCTCTCCTCCACGTCAGTCTTCTCTCCTGAGCTTCCAGTCTCTCATTCCGACACACACACACAACTCCCAACGCTTTGTTGAAGCAAGTGGCAGCCCCAGCTCACAGGGATGCACAGTGCTGTAGACAGAAAGCTATTTAGATTTTGGGCTCCGCACTCCCCGTGCTGCCAAGTGTGAAGTGGCTCGAGCTGAGAAAGTGAGCTAAAGTTTGAATTGTTATTAATTAACTAGCCAATTAGCCCGTCATAAGACGGGATTTTCAGGTCTCTCCTCCACGTCAGTCTTCTCTCCTGAGCTTCCAGTCTCTCATTCCGTCTCTCTCCTCCTCCTCCTCCTTCCTCCCCCTCTCTCTCAGCTCTCCTCCACCTCCTGCCTCTCTCTCCGTCTCTTTCACTTCTCCTCCCCCTCCTGCCTCTCACTCGGGGGACCACGGAGCCCAAATGGCCTTTTGGGCTCCGCACTCCCCGTGCTGCCAGGGGGGCACGGAGCCCAAACGGTCACTTGCTCCCACGCTGCGGCCTGGCTGAGTGGCGCAGAAGTCAGTCAAGCGCCTCGGCGGGAGGCAAAGGGGGGGTGGGGCGATGATGTTCACGGCCAGGGGGTGGGGCCTGGAGTCACTGTCATGCCGCACGTCACCGCCCCGCTTCCCTTCACCTCCCACCGTGGCACTCGGCTGACTTCTGCACCACTCAGCCAGGCCGCCGTGGGGGAGCCTGTTTCCTCTCTCCCCCGACACCTGCAGGGGAAATGTGAAAAGGCCATGCAGGTGTATGCGAGGTGTCTGATTCTCCTTTATGCCTCTGGTTGATTGGTTAGGGTAAAACCACAATCAGACCCTAAAGTATTTGTTAGTATGCAGATCAGACACCACCACTAATAAATTCTATGTGCTATATGATTAGCTATTGTGATGATGAGTGTAACATTTGCAGTCTTTTAAGCACTAGAAACCAGTGTTCACAAAATAATCTTCTCAACTCATCAGTACTCTAGAGTTCTTACACCCATACTATATGTTTCTCAACTAACTTATTCCTGAGGAACTGGGAGGGGAGGGGGAGAAAAGCCTGGCTATAATGAATCATTCACTAAACAACTGTATACATGATGGAAACACATAAACAAACACAATCATCCTTGGTACTTAAGTATCCACCTTCTGAAGTTTGTTACATCTCTTGTAGTATTGCTAGGGAACTATTTTACTTCAAGCTTCAGCATATGATTATACTTAATCTATTATTTGTTATAATATGATAGTATCGGTTGAATCTTTCTAGTCTGGCATTCTCTGGTCTGGCAACATCAATGGTTCAGCATGATTTTTAGCTAGCTGTCTGTCCTCTTGGGTGTGGCCAAGTTTCCCTTCGTTCCATATATTTTCTTTACCGCCGCCAGTCCTGTCTCTCATGGTGTGTCTAAACTACATGGCTCCATCGATGGAGCCATGTAGATTAGGCTGATCGGCAAAGGGAAATGAAGCCGCGATTTAAATAATCGCGGCTTCATTTAAATTTAAATGGCTGCCACGCTGAGCTGACAAACAGCTAATCAGCTGTTTGTTGGCTCAGCGCACTAGTCTGGACGCTCCCACGCCGACCTGAAAGCCGTTTATTGACCATCCCGTTATGCCTCGTAGGATGAGGTTTACCGGGAAGGTCGATAAAGGGCTTTCATGTCGGCGCGGGAGCATCCAGACTAAAGCC